TAAAGCAATACGGCCATCCATGGAACCGTTTATTGAGGACCTGCTTTCATTCGGGGTAGTACCTCGAGCGGTTTCATCCGTAGTTCCGTCTCACCTGACATGTGCGGACGTGACTTACAACAAGCAAATCATTATCATTCTGACTGGTTTTTTGGCTGCTGTTCTGTCCAATTAAGACAGTAAAGTATACAGAGGTCATTTACCAAACGTTTGCTAGGCAAAACATCCACTAAGAACTATCGGGAGCGCTGACAACAATTCCGGTTCGATTCGCTTTGGCTACGAAGATTGAGGCATATAACCTGATGATTCTGTACAACATGATTCATTAAAACGCCAACTGCTATTTGCCTTCCCTAGAACTACGGCATAGTTTGACAAGTGAGCTACTCAATGAGGAGTTTACTCTGAGTGTACCGAGGTACAGGATAAATCTGTGGTCCAACATTTTGCTTATCAATTATGCTTTCATGTGGAATAAGCTCCCAGTCACAATCAGATCGTGTGCCTTTCGCGTTAAGCTCGCTAGTTACCTACACTTGAACACGATCATGACCCTGTTCTATTGGGAGAGATCACTTGATGATTTGTTCCAAGAAGGGCCAGACAACGTCTGATGGATGAGACAGAAAAATATATTTCACGTAGTGTGGTACCTCCCTAACGCTATTACTATCCCCTAACCCAACTAGTGCATATTGCGTTGAAACACATCTGTGAGTAAATGTATACCCTTGGAACAGCAAAGACAATGAAAATCACATAACTGTTTACCACTCATGCATATGGCATGAGATATTCTGTAAAATCTGATGTGTGCCAAATATTGACACAGTTTCTCACACGATGGGGAAAATACCTATTATTATTGTGAGTATTATTATCATTATTATCACGTTGACTCTTGGTCGCTGTTATAATCGATTGGGTCGTCATCAGGTTGACGCGCTTTTTGGCCTCTCTCATATGCCGTTATCTCGTCATCACGTTGAATCGTTTTTTTTGGGGGGGGGGGGGGGGATAAGGCGCTGTTCCATGCACACCTGCTATACAGCCCATTCCACAATTTAACTGTTTCGAGTGATGCACTTTTATATTCGACAGCGAGTATGTGGCAATTCGCCTTGCTTTGATATTCTAAATAGCCTGCCAGCTTCAGTCCGTCACAGGAGATCGGCCCAATCGTGGCCAACAATGGTAAAAGAGAAAAATGAGTAGAAATTGAATGGTGGAACAGTAACGGTAGGTGAATGTCTCAAGTTGGCGATTGTCCGATACAAATTGTACATAACGAACATAAAAAGTAACCTCTCGAATTATTTATTACAAAAACTGACAGCTTCAGGCGATCGAAAAGGAGAAGTTGATGACGCAAATTTACTCTGCGGGGCGCTGAGAACTGTTGCAGTACCCACGTTGTTGCAAAAGGGTTAGAAGATAAAACGATTAGTAGTATAGATTGAGTGTAAAGAGTGCAAATAAAATATTTTCACAACGATACGTTTGGAAATGTAGTTTTGCGAATATCGATGATCCTGACACACATCCATCTAAAACTGTCGCCAAAATAGTGTTGCGGGTTAAACAATGGTACATGAATTTGAAATGCAATGATAGTATGGAAGGGTGACAACTTCGTTGCGTGATATTTTTCATGTGATTCCTGGTCCTTGATAACATAGCTCCTCTATTGTTATCTGCCGTTCAAACAGTAGCTGCATTCGGTAAGAGTAGAACTTGATCTAGCTCATGGAAATTAGATATTGTCCTCCCAAAAACACTGCACAACCACGACGCGTTTCGATGTCATTTTAGCTCATCAGGTGGAGATAGCAGGCCTCGATCCCGCGACCATTGGAATAGTAGCCGAAACCACCACCCCTTTGGCTACCGGGTCACGGTGAGCAACGCTTGGCACAACGGTAATGACTAATTGGAGGGTCAAGTTTGGACTACACGTTGTGTGATTGGATTACGACGCGCAATCTCAATGTAATGGACTGTGATTCACATTGAAGTAAACCTTAGTCACTGCTGTCGCTGGGACCGTACTCAAAGCAGATAGAAATTGGGTGTTTCCCACCCGAAAACACTGCACAACCACGACGCGTTTCGATTTCATTTTAGCTCATCAAGTGGAGATAGCAGGCCTAGGACCCGCGACCATTGGTATAGTAGACGAAACCTCTACCCCTTTGGCTACCGGGTCACGACGGGTAACACTTGGCACAACGCTTAATGCCTGATTGGAGGGTCATTTTGGATTATACATTGTGTGATTAGATTGTGACGCGCAATCTCAAAGTGCACCGCAGTTCACATTACTTGCAGAATATGTGGGAGCTCTGAAATACAACAATAGGAATACATGCTTTTGCTTGTCTTTAGCGTCCGAGAACGACGGGGCATTAATTCCGAAATCCGCACCTAAGAAGCGTTTCTCACTAGTGTGCGTGTTACTTACCAAGTAACCTTGCTTTCGTATTCCGAGAGTAGGCGTTCTCTAGCCTTGTTTCACCAACTCCAAACGAAAGATGTAGGATAGTCACGACCTCTTCAAATGTTGTGGACGGAACCTCATTATAACGGCAACCAGGCAGGGACTGTTGTATGAGGGTTATAAATTTGTTAACATCTTATCCTTGCCGTAGTTGGGAAAAATGTTGTTGTGCAGTAAACACATGTTGCTGTAAGCTCAAATCCATGAGTTTAAGACAGTCTGGCAGTGAAGTGCTTTCGCACAAGCGTAGTACATCGAAATGCCTCTGCGCCCAGATGCTGTCTCAACAGTTTAACAGATTGATTCTCAGTAATAGTGATTTGAGGATTTGTAATTGGGAAGAGCCTAAGATAGTCCCGTAATGTGCTACTGCAGCGAATCCAAACAGCAAGGGATGGTTTAAAAGCCGCTTTATTCCAAAACAAGTCAGGTGGAATAACATGACGCATAACGAGCAATTGCAACCGCGGACTCCGTCGCCAATATTAAAGTCTCCACGTGCGGAACTAACGCAAGCCCGTAGCCGAATGATGTAAGTACAACACAACGAGCTGGTATTACGCACGTGTATTCTGACAAAAAAGTGTAGAGCATCGATCGCAAGTTGAGACCAGTGAGTGGATAATCGATAGACAGACATATACGCGCATAGGTAGGGACAATGTTGAGTTTGAACATCCGACTGGCGATAGCGACTCACACGCCACACTCCTTCTCCCTTTAGTGGCACTACCCAAGGCAGCTTGGTAAGGATCAACTGCATGGTGTATCCAAGCCGAGCGGCGTATTGGTCGGGTTTCTAACTGGCTTCTGTTCTGCGTACCCTCCTTGACTGCTGGCTCGGTTGACCGGCTTCACAACATGTCGTCTGGCTCGATTGAAACAGAACGACGACGGACATGATCCATATGACGAGTAACCACCCTGCTGTCCGTTAGTTCAGGTCCCATAGGCTGACCTACAATTTCACATAACTCTGCAGGCTGCCAAGTCGGTTCGTGTGACAGTTTGACGTAAACTGGCTCATCCGCACGGAGTTGTCGATCTGATACCTTTCGATCGCATCTCGTTATAGATTTCTCTTGTCACATCTCGAGGCCTATTCTCTGATTAGAAGAGAGTAGATCAAGCCGCGTCCAAAGCCCTTCGGTCGAACTCAGTTTGCCTGGACTCTTGCTTATCGAGAGTTTAGAGGTAGGGTGGGAGACGAATAGAAATTTGCCCAATTTCGTTCAGAGTAGAGCGGTTGACTGCTTCTGTAACCCGTTTTTTACTATCTAGACTGCTCTTCCTGCTAGTTCATTTGAGGGAGAGTGACTTCGCATTTGAAATAAATGAGAATATCTGTAGCTCGGGGTGTGGATGCGGATTTTGAGCAGTTCTCCGAGCTGAATAATTATTTTGCAGACGTTTCGTTGCCTGACTAGGCAACATCATCAGTGCGGCTTCAGGGGCCTGGTTCGAAGTGTCTCGTAAGCGACTTCAATGTCCAAGTGCTTATTGATCGAGTTCTCTTTTGAATGCCAGGCTTCAATGAATTCACGTGCTTGCCGGCTTTTAGCCCTTCCGAGGATACTTCGCATGCCTGATGCCTATATTTTGAAGGAACCTGAAACTGCTGTCTAGTGAATACGGGGCCAGTGTCTGTCACTCGTGTCTGTGGAATACCGAATGTTCCCATACAGGAAACGGTTGTCTCCGTAGTGGTGCGTATCTGTGGAAATACCTAAATCCATTTGGATTAGGCATTGTCCATAAGAAGAAACATCTCCCATCAAGCGGACCAGGGCAATCTGCATGCATGAGATCACATGGCTTTTCGGGCGGTCTCCATTGACCCAGTGGCACTGGCTGGGTGTTTGTTTGCATACTTTAAGGTGGTTCACAATGTCTGATTGATTTTTCTAGGTTAGTGTCAATATCAAGCCACCACACATAATACTGCGCAAGCTCTTTCATTTTGATGAGCTTCGTGCAGTTTCTCCAGCACACAGTCGTAACCGAAGCGATATAATAACTCTGGACCCCAAGTAAAAGCAGTCAGCCTCGAGGTTTAGTTCTGTATGTCAGACGAAGTAAGGCAACAATTCCATGGTAAATTTTTCGAGCCATCCCTGGAAGAGCAAAGGTTTGACATTGCAGAGGAATACAGCACATTTCATCTCGCGGTGGAATCCGCGTTCAACACCGGCTTCCCGTACAAGTGCTACACTAAATGGACTAACTTGGTTCCAATACACGATCGGACAGATGATTCAACGGCAACCGGCTCAAGGCATCCGCAATCCCGTTTGCTTTTTCAGCGACACTACAAACAGTTCGGATATATGGAGGTAAAAACTAATTGTGGGCTTCTGTTACCAAGTGTCAGTGAAGTCATACAAGATGATACTCGACGCACTACCTGAAAACCTCGAATGCAAACAGGAATAAGCCAGCAGCACCAACGTAACTGAATGAATCCATGACCGCGTAAGTATTAAAACAATCAAACAGTAAATCACAAATATATTGACTTACAAGGTACAGGAAGTTGAAGTAAAGTTTAATCGTAGAAAATGTTCGTTAGCTTACAGAACGCGGCACACCTTTGTAGGAGGCAGCAATTTCTAACAAATGTTTACCTATCTGTTGGTCAGCGTTCAGTACCATTCCGGATACAGGTGGGAGAAACAGTTCACTTAACTCCCTGAAAGTCATGGCGATGCGCCTAGATCGAATATCGGAGGGGCGAATTGAATGAAACCATACATATCTTGCCGGGCCGTCCACGATGACCAAGCTGCGTTTTGGCAAGGGAACACGAACAGCCAGGTTATCCGAAATCTGTCACCGGTGTAGGATAAATGGTGGAGGATGATTCAGATTTAACATACTAATGGACGAATATGAGTGAGCTGTGGGAGAGATAATTAACAAAAATTAGAAAAAGCATGTCCGAGATGAAACGGGAACAAGAACTCCTGATGTGCAAGCGATAGATGTGATGGACACAGGCTAGTCGCCACCACCCACCTGGTGCTGTAGTACAAGTTGCGGTGTATGTCTAGTTGTGAACATCTAGTACGTTACCAATGTCGTCACGAGGAAGATGGATGGGTAATGCCAGAGCATCCAAAAGACACTACTTTTAAGTGCACTGACTAAGTACAGCGATATCGTGGTTAATGTGGGACAGGTGTTGAGTCTTTGTCACACGTGTGCTTTGGGTGTGTTGTAGCAAGATTGGCGTATATTCATACTTGATTCGCAGCTATGGGAGCCCGTTAACTGTTGCTAATGTACAACAGAGTACATAGCCCATATAATGATGCTAGGCTCATGGAGTGGTCCCATCATGCAACGAGTTACTTCCTAACGACCTTTCTGTGTATGTCTGGTGCGCATGTTTCCCTATTTTTCATCCGTGATGAGTGCGCTAAAGAAGTGTGGGGCAAGCCCAAACCGCACGCCTTTGGGTCTAATTCCTCCGAGCTTTTGCAGTGGGCATGGAGGGTGTGTATCGTGTGGTACAAGGCACTAATGGTTCCAACTTAGCGGGCAACAAATGTTCCAACAGCTATATCACAAGTAAAGGAAGACAACATGTGCATTAACAGTACGCCGGCAAATCGTAAAGACGCTTCGCTGCCACGAGATCACCAACAATCGCGTCAGGGCTGCTGAGTATGCTGCGGTGCTGCCTGCATCCACACCGACGATTTGCACATGTGATCTCCGGATTCCAGGGGGTAAGCGCGTAATCCACTCGGCCACCAGCCCACATACAAAAGAAGTCAAACAGTGAGTTACCACATGTGGTATGTTGATCAAAATTATATACATGATAAAAAAAGCGTTTCCAGCATCGCGTTGACTTAAAAATTGAGATAAAAGTGTGAGGAGGGGCATCCCAGCCACGGTTCTGTATCTACGAACGAGGTGAACTGATTCCCTGCCCAAGTGCCCCCCCCCCTATCTCTCTCAAGAGGCTGCAGATATTTGAAATGCAAGTGATCATGCAACCGTATCTAGCAATGCAACGTTGCTTACAAAAGGGTAACCAGAAGTGGTAGCACAATCCCATCAGAATCAAATTACAGGACTTTGTCTACACGATCCAAAGCAAACAATAAAAAGACTGAGTGAAATCTCGTAACTTCCATGCCAGGGCGCTGCGAGAGAGAACTATAATAACGAAGATGAACAAAGTTGCTGAAGATTACATATTATAAGAAGTTTAAGTGTAAAATGACTACATGTAAGATGACGTATTCATGTTGGTTAAACTATATGCCAATTTGAAATCAAGAAACACGGTTATACTCAACCGGAATTAGGTAAAGCGCTTACTAAAAAGAATTCATATTGTATAAGAAAGCCAAACTATTATTGGATGATCAGTACGGGTCGCCTTTTCCTCTTGAGCAACGGGCCACTATTTGCAAACCTAAGCTAGCGTCTTTGCCAGGAGTAGCGGCACTGGCTACACATTTCGGTTCACGAGCACTTATTTCATAAGCGTCACAAATCAACACTACTCCAGGTGATGAGGTAAAGTAGTAACAAGATGTTACTAAACGGAGGTTTGCTGCATTTGGCTTCGCTACCACGTAGACGTTTTCCAGCGGTGAAAAATATCGGCGGGGTATTAGAAGTGTTCAACTAGTACCAAGGATACTGCTATACCACGTCTGTCTAAAACTAATCCAGAGGTAAGTGTAGCAAAAAGATGCATTATTGGTTGATCCTGACCCGGTTTAGGTAATGCGATATTCGGGAATAAGTGAACTTCAAGGACAGATGCTGTTAGACTGAAGAGAACGTAATGTGGCTCAGTATAAGTATCTACAACATAATTTCCGAAATATTAGTGGAACGTAGCAGAGAGAGGTAAGAGTAAATCAATGATCTCATCAATTCACCTTGCAAGCGTAAGATTCGGAAAGTGATCCGCGAATTCGCTCTATTTCACTCAACACTTCAGGTGAGTCTGAGGAGTCAGGAAGTGTAAATGTCAAGACAGTATCGGAGCACAAGTTCAATGTGATCAATCGACTTCCCCAGAGCCATACGTCATCCAAGTGTGGGACGATGCAAGATGTCCGATCCGGGCAGTATTCCAAATTACATAGCTCAACGGGCTGGAAAGATATTTGGCCCATCTGGGGATTGCAACTGATGGTTTTGTTAATCCGATTGACCAGAAAACAGCTATACGACGGCAGACCTGAAAATCCGTCATAAGAAATACGCCGACGCTTAAAATTGACTTTAGGGCCATAGTCCTAGGTTTGGGCGAAAGGAAAAAAAGAATGAACTGGTTGGGTTAAATGGAATCGTAGTTTCGCTGAAAATCGTTGAAATGTACTGCACTTTATAGCACTAAGGAATAAAGGTTGATGATGTAATTTCACAGAAATGAATTAAAAGAAAACAGAAGCTAGAAACCAAACGAACAATGACGGCAAATAAATAGATGGAGTAATTGTATCACCAGTCATCAAATGAGGAGAATGAATTGTGGCCCGGGATAATTCAAGCAGCAGCTGGTTTAGCAGGATAGAGGAGTTCGAAGCAGAAATTCGCAACATATCATAGCAGCATAAATGGAGTAAGAGGATGAACTGGTTCATCCTGGAGAGCAAACAGCATCTGCTAACGGTAGCTTTCGTTGAAGCATGAGTATCCATCTGACAGTTCACTTTCTACATCTGTCAGTCTGTACAACCTGACCATTGACTTTACAAAAGTAATCTACATGAGTGCATTAGCCGCTGGTAAACAAGCCCCACTGCATATGGACACTCTCGAGTGCTAACTTTATTCGAGAAATGATGTTGAGTTTTAGTTGGTAGGCCTCCATGTAAAGATCCTGATTCAGTCGCCATGGCAACAGCGGTTAAAGCAGTGGAAAGTATTCAAGGGCTGGATGTTGACTGCGAACAAGTTCTCCAGAAACACTTCGAGATGTAAAGATTCAAAATGTTAATATCGTACACCAGTTACGTACTGATGACTAACAGTTATAAACTGGCAGCAGTGGGTCAGGAGCAGGACACGGTTGAGGGGCAAGAACGGCTCTAATTCCTAGCTAATACTGAACTAATAAGTGGGGGATAAGCCTTGCTTATGGCCTCATTTGAGTATAATACCGTTGACAAAAGCGTTTGGGCTCAAAAAGTGCCTAAGGAAACCGAAAGTGATCATAACCGGAATCAATAAAGTGATGCAGGTTCAATGGTAAACAACAGGATTAACGACTACTCCTTGATATCCAAGATGGTCAACATAGCTTTTCGTTTATTAGAGAACAAAAAGTAAGGATTGTTGAAGTTACATCGTGACGACTCGACCTTAACGTGGTGTGACGGTTTGCGTGCCTCAATGATGCATTGAGCTAAGCTGGGTGGTGCTTGTTACACATACAGGGCCACTCAAATTAGATTGAATCAGTAGTTATAGGCCAGATAAACTCGGTCTCTTGGCACTTCAGGGTGAGTGTTGGAGTGAGGGTGGCACCATGCTCTGTGTAACGTACTCCGTAACCCAGCGGCGAAACCCCGCTGCTTTGCGGTCAGATGTTTAAACCAAAGGCTTAAGTTGAGAATCCTAACCATTCTCCTGCCTAAGCCTGGGCAATCTTACAGTATTCCGCACACGCAATACGACGAATCTTGCTTCAGGCCGTTTCTTGATGTTCTGGTAGTCTCAGAGAATAATTAAGTAATTAATTAATAAGCTACTGCATCTACTGCTCAAACCTTCCCGTCTTCTTATATTCTCTCTTGCGCTTTTCCATCTTTATGGTTCTCCTCCAACTTCAGGCTTATCCCTCCAGTTTTCAGCCCGCAATTCTGTTCCCCATCTTGGTTCAATGGTCCCTTGTCTTCTAGTTTCGACTCACACGCAATCGTAGGGCGTCGCTCCAGTTCAGTTGACAAATCTATGTTCAGCCAAGCGGACAATGTCAGTTCATCCATTTCTCTCTGGAGCCTCCGATCCTCGCTAAATCTGGCATGCCTCGACGTGTAAATGTTGCTGCAGATTGGCCAACAGGCAGAACTCACCAGAAAACTAGGGGGCCCTATCGATCGACATCTGTTGCTTACCGGAAACTCGCTGACAAGATGCAGGTTTCGTGATTACCATATGATCCCGCACAAGTGACACTTGCAGCACGTTCTCACTGCGTTTGTCTGGAGATAACGCAGCTTCAAATAGTAGTCAATCCAGTATGCATTGCTCGCAGTCGCTTGGCTGAAGCTGCCTTGGTTGACTGGATGCCAATGAACAGCTGGATGTGCGCTGTCAGATTGGCTGGCTCGTTCTGAACTTCGAGATCGCGCGTCGTCAAATGGTGCCTGTTTGTCATTGCTGCACGCTTCCCCCAAACTGTGGCGCTGATTCGGCGAAAGATGAATCCTAGCACTAACTGAACGTGCTCTTTCATCACAGAAATGTGGATACTGTGTTGCTGACTGGCGATCTGAATGCCAAAATTGGAAAAGTGTCTACTAATGAGCTTCATCTGGGTAGCCAACACTGTGTAGGCTGGCGTAATGATAACGGTGAGCGGTTGCTACACCTGTGTGAAGTTGCTCGTCCACTTCTCTCGAGTACCAACTTGCGACATATCATACACAGAAGGGTGACATGCCACAATCTAGAGTCAAACAAACCACGAAGGCAAATCAACCACATCGCGATCAGTTAGTGATGGAGAGGCTGCATTCAAAATTGTCGTTAAACCTGGAGCACGAGGGTGGATCCTCACCACGCACTCGTTGGTGTCGATCTTACAGTTCGCTTCGGTGAGCGCATACGACATCGCTGTGAGTGCACAGATATATACCAACTGGCGAAGCAATATGTTCTGAATGCGTATCAAAGTATAATGGAATCCAACGTGAGTAAGCGCTGTCCAAACACAGTAGAGGGCCACTGGTTGGATATCAATTAAAGGTTACTAGCAGCAGGCATACCTTCATCTGACAAATCTAATCGCCAACCTGGACCTTGGGTGTCTTCAGTCTGGAATTTCTGGATGCTCAATGACACATTCCGGCTGGGAGCGAACAAGACGATGTCCACAAAGACCTCAGGGCGAAACCGCGTGCTAGCCTGGAGACGGCGGATCCTGGTGGTCTCATCAAGCATGGAAGATGGAAACAGCCCCAGTCCTTGGTTATTCCATCTGATACGGGAAACAGGCAGAAGTAGACCGGTGTCAGGGAGACCATACTTGGCAACGGTGGGCGGCGAAACAACCGTATATCAAAACGATTGAAGTATTGGGCCAACACTTTGAAAAGCAGCTAGATCAAATGGTTATCATCAGGCACTGATCGCCCTTCTCCCTAGGCCGTTCCCTGAATCCGCCTTCACGCGCAGATCAGACTTTTCAAAGTGAATAAGGCAGCGGCAGCGGACGGAGCCCCTCCAACTCTTCGGGGACCTATTCTTGTAGATGACTTGCGCAACTTAAAATTATGAAGCTGTGGGAACAAGAAATTGTCACAGCAGACTGGAGCTGTCTTTTAATAATCCTAATTTTCAAGGTGAGCTCCCGTTCCGAATGCGGCAATCATGGAAGGAGCAGTCTGATCTCAATTACCTCGTTTCTGCCCTTCTTTATGGACATGCCAACATTCGTGAAAGCCAGATTCGCGAGAAGTAAGCCAGGTTTCGTCGAGGTCGTGACTGTATTGATCACATCTGCACATTGCGTCACTGCTATATTTTCAGTGAGCCATCATAGTCGTATTTCTCGATATCAACGTACATTTGATTCGGTTGATCGATGTGCTCTTTGGAACAATCTACCAACGAAAGTTGTGCTCGAAAAATACGTAAACATTATCACAGCGCTTTACTCGGTAGTTTAGGCAGAGTGAAGGCCTATGGCAAACTGTCGCCGCCATTCAATATCTCCAACGCTGCGAGACAAGTATGCTCGCTGTCACGCTTCCTTTTTAACTTCAACTGAGTAGTGTAGAATGCGTTCATTGGACAGGACCTGCAAGGCGTGGAGCAGTTCTTGACTTGGAAAGCGCCGACCGCACTGCCGGCGGATGTGATTCGCCAGTGAATAAGGTCACTGCCCACAATTTCACAATGGCAAGTTGAACAGCCACATTTCACTATTACTGATACGTACACTACAAAATACCTCCCTGTCTGCATATTCCGTCACCACTTCACTTGCTATGCTTTTAGGATTGATCTCCACAATACACACACATGAACCCAGTCTCACATCACATCAAGAACACCAGTCTGAGGCAAACAATTGTTTTCAAGGATTCATCTAAGGTCCGGTACAAATCATATAAGGTTAAAATACGAAGGTAAATGCACGGTGATTGGTTCAGATGTAAATCAATGGTTAGACAGCAGAGTTAGTCGTCGTCTTGCACACACACACACACAGAGCGATAGGTGTTACGTAAGCAAACTGACGACGCCGGTGTCAGAGTGACGGTTAGATTGACTTCTGTTCTGCCGGGACAGATTTAGCGCTTGAACAAACTACTTTGGTGAGCATAGCAGAGGTTGGAATATTCGGATCGCAATAGCTTCTGCTGTGGCGAGCATTCCTAGACGCAGACCATTTGAATTGTTCAATGGGATCTGGTAAACCACAGTAAATGCATTCGGAAGATTAACGCTGTGACTTGATTCGAAGGATGTTGTCTTCCACGGTTCTTTTTCCATTTCTGCAAATTCTATACCTTTCAGCCAACTTCCCAATGCATGTAACGCAACGTGCCTGCTGCAACGCATTTGCCTGTAAAATTTTGATCATGCCTTATTTAGTGTGCCTCGGTGTGTTCGAGAATAAAATATTCATTTATTTATCTGGAACAGCTCGCAGACGTGCCAAGTAGCATTGGACAACTTAGCGTTGGCTGTCAATGGTTTCGGAACACGATTCGCACCATCGAAACGCAAAGTCCGCCAGGATTGGCTAGGACCCACCTCTGCGCTGATTCTTGGTGGTGGTCAGCTAGAAGTTGGCGAGAAATCCGAGTATCTAGGCAGTCATATTAACACCAGTGAAATGGAAGATGAGATCACAAACCGCATAGCAGAAGCTCAAGGCACTTTTGCTAATCTCCGCTACCTGTGGCGGTGATGCAACATTTCTCTCGCCCTGGAGGAGGACATAGTTTACAATACAGCCGGCCGTTCAAATGTACTGTATAGATGTAAAACATGGCCCATCAGGTCGACAGACAGAAAGAGGTTAGTTAGGTTAGACCACCGGTGCCTTCGCAGTTTGGCT